AGATCCAGCGAGGGCGCCTGGGAAATTGGCAAGCGACGTTACCTATATTGGATTGCAAATCAAATTCGCCGCATTTGTTTGGCTTGGCTCGCCTATGCTCGCGAGATTGATTCGATTCCGGAGGAAAAGGGTGTAACTTAAAGACTGGCTGCTTTAACTTGCCAGTGAGCTGCACTTAATGATGCATGAAATGCTGGGTCGCCGCCGTAGGACCTGCGGCATAAACAATGTGCCCGGACGAAGCCATTAGGCTAAGCTGCTTACAAGTCATAAACTATGTGGGTAAGATGGCTATGGGCTGGTTTCTCCACTGTGGCACTGTGGTTCTTCGACCGGGTCTCTGTGTGCATTAAAGTGGCTCTCGGCTTGAACCAATTTTCAATGCCTTGGGCCAAGTAAGTTGCATTTGCGATAGGTTCGCTAATGGAATCGATTCGATGCGTTCCACAAGTCATTAGACGAAACTCAACGGCTGCCTCCAATGAGTTCATATCTCGGCTGTTATCAAAATTTATGGCATTCAAATTTTGCACAGTCATCGCTTCACATCTTTAACGAGACTATTTGCTCATCATTAGCGTTTGTCTCGGCACCTCCTCTTCGAATATTGAATGTTGAATAAAATTTCAGAGTCCTTGAAGTTTTGATCATCGCCCCTCGGGAACTCCCTCCTTTGCCGCCATTAAGCCTGTCATTTTTCGAGAATTCCGCATTTTTCTGTGCACATCCGGCGAGCTCGTTAGAACTCTCCTCCTCTGCGGGAGTTCGAGGCATTGGCTATGCAAACTAACCATTGACCCAGGCTCTCGAGCACGGAGGCCAAGAATAATGGGTGCACTTGCTACCCATTTTTTACGCCCGGGGAGCTCGGTTCCTGACCGTTAAGTAACGCACAGTTTCGGGCCATCGCTTCATGTTACGTGGCTCGGATACGCCCTCAACTTCATCTACGGATTTTCATCGCCATCGTCTGGTCGTCGTCGTCGTCGTCGTCTGGCCAGCTGAGCTCTTGCATTGGAATGATAAATGCGTCCCGTCTAGTGGTCAGTTTTTCAGTCAATCTAAATAAATTATAGCGGGAGGTTTACTGTACTTGAGTAGCTATTTCTAGGGCTGCGCTGGCGAATTTTATATCTGACATCAATTTGTTGGTGAACTATTTCCCTTTTAGAGTTGTATTAAAAATGTTATTATTCATAAAAGTTTATATCCGGAGCTTGTGGGCTTACTTAAAGCTGAATATTGCCTAATCTGTGCAGTTTTTCATACGAGTGGAAGCTCCCTGAACTGCAATAAATATACCTCCAAAATTTGGAGCAAATGAAAACTATTTAGAAGATAGGGATAAGAAGGATAATGCACCGACCAACTGCACACAACTGCAGATAGAGAGCTCATCTAGCAAAACCCTGCATCGTTGGCCATCTGTCGTTCAAGCATCAACTGAAGTGAGATTTCGGGATTGCAAATAGAATTTCGACCAGCCTACACTGATAATTTTTTTAATATAAATCAGTTACAGGGAAGTATAGTTCTAACCTATAGTTATGATAAAGGGCGCCCTCCCCAACTTGAAGTATTTGCTTTATCTGCTTATTAGATTGTCAAAACATTCGAAGAAGTGTGGTGGAAGGGACCTTTGTCTAATCTTGAATTTAAATTGATTATTATTCTTAGGTGCTAAAAAGTTTGGATTAATTCAGTAGATCCTAGGGAACGCCATAAAATTTTTTTAAATCTATCCATATTAATCCATTCATATTTAAATTTTATTTCCTAAGTTAATTAGAAATTTTTAAATGTTCCCTAGCATATGGTTTTACCAAAATATAGAGCTGTTAAAATTACCCGTGCTTACACTATTTAATTTTGAAATTGGTATCACAGTAATAGGTATTTTACAGTCTTCTGTGGCAATCCCCTTCTTGCACAGCAAATAGGCGTATATAGTAAGGATTTGGTTAACTAAACCAACGAAAATGATTTCTGTGTAGTCAACAGCGAGTCTCCGGGCCAAGCTGAAGCCCATGTAGTGAAAATAAACAATTCCGATTTGAGGGTGCTTGATTGCAATTACTGAACTAGAAAATGCATGGCAATTTCCCATAGACGACCAGCGTAGACAGAACCCAGAGAGGAATAGGGCCAGATTATTGGCGAATGTGGGATGCAGCTTAAAGTTCCAATTGATTTTGTGGCAAGCCCATCAGGGTATGATCATGGAATGAAATACTAGTTGAACCATTTCACTACGTGCAATTTCATTCAAATGCCAAAAAGTTCTCTTAACCGTGAGACATGACATACACTTTGAAGCTTTAGCCACAAGGCCAAAAGGCGGTCATGAAAATTAAAATGCCAGGATCTTAGGGGCTGGTATCGATTAGAAATTCGTAAAAGTTTCTGGTAAGTTTTTTAATTCTTTCTATAAGCCGCTTACACAAACTTTCTATTATTCAATGCTCTACTCGTCGTCGACGACCACTCCGATCGCCACGTAATTGATGCCGGAAATTGCTGTAAGCATCGCCCGTGTCGAAAACATTCCCCCTAAATGAGCTCAAACCCCACGAAAGCCATAACCTTTAACGCCGGGTTTGTTTGGGTCCCTCCGAGTAAGCGACGTAAATTAATAGGGAACTCGAGTCAATGCCAACTGCCCCAGAAACCGCAGTTTGTGCACAAGAGGATTCTTGTTGCCGGCTGTCAAGGCTCCATCATTAGTCAACGTTGCTTTCCGCCAAAGGAATGGCTAGGTAAAGCCAGGTTACTGTTGTTATAGTATAAAATAAAACTACACTTACTCTTTATCAATCTCTTTAATATTTTTAAGTAGTTTAATGAACTCAGACATTCCGACATCATCAATTAACGAAAACACTTTGTAAATTTATTCGAAATTACATTTTATATCGAAATATTTAGAATGAAATTATTACATTTTTTTTACCTAGTAAGTAGTTTTAGTGGCTTCGAACCAAGCAATTTAATGGAAATGGTAATTAATTAAAAACTGTCACGATGAAATTTCAATATACATTGTTTAAATAAAACGATTATTTAGCATTTGTGAAAAATACATTTTTTTCGGCAAGGTTTAGGTTTTTAATTTTTTCAAACGAAAGGAAGATGAAGCATTTTCGTCCCGTTTTAGTGCAAACAGGCTTAAATAGACGGCACATTTTAGTGCGAAATTGTAAGTTGGAGGCGCATTCTTAAACAATAAACTTGGTTAAATCAAGAATTCATTAAACATGTACTTGTGCGCGGCAGTATATGAAAATAGCATTTTATGTAAATTTTTTAGTATTTCTACAAAGTAAGCCGAATTCATTAGTAAATCAATCCTATGCAATATGGCTGGACTATTTATAACTTAGTTTATGTGTTTGTCTCGTTTATAATACTTCGTTTATTATTTGTAAAAGCAATTGCAGTAATTTGCGTAGTCATTGGTGATAATCATCAACGACTCAATCATACATTTTTGGCACTCTTTAGTATAAATACTTGAATTAAAGGACCTTAGGGGAACAAGAATGTTGCAGGTACGAACAAAACTATCTGAGTATGAAATTGTTTAAATTTAAGGTGATGTAAGACATCTTGTGGGTGTAGAACATCTATAAGTAGAAATCTCTCTCATACAGACCTAACCATTCAGTTATTGAAAACAGGCTTGGTAATCCGCATCATCTCTATAATCACCTAGTTGTCCTCGCTCACAGCCGCTTATGCAATCCGGAACAAGTCACGCGGATCGGAGGTCTCTGAAAGTGCGATGCGATTGTCTGTGGTCGTCAGTTCGGTGGCAGGTTCCCAAACATTGTAAAGGGTGCTAATGGCCGAGCGATCAGGAAGTCTCACACGCTGTCCGGAGATCATTTGCATATAAAAATCGGAAAGGCAGCGACAACACAATGAACAGGCGTTCCCGAAAATTGCGATCGCTGCAGATAGCGGCTTCGTGTAATTGAGTAATTAGCAGTAGCGAAACAATTGTAATCCAAACCGCCAATAAGCCAAGCATCCGATGGTCTGTGGATCAGTTTCCCATCGGTACTATCATCTGTGTACTAATAGACGCGTGTTGAGCATTTAAAGCAGATGATACTGAGACCTTATAAAACACGTAATTTATTATGGACAAGAAAGGTCAACGCAGTAGAAGTATCACTTCTCTATGAGATACTTGCTCATAAAATGAATGCCGTTCAATGACCAATCAACGTTTTCTTATCATCGCTATAATAATATAATAATTTTCTAATTACCTAATATGTTTTCGTTGAATAAGCTAAACAAACTTCAGTCGCCACTATAAAGCATTTCCTTCGCTTGTTTCTTTTCATAAATTTCTTTAAGTTTTTTTTTCAAATATTTCACATACATATATTTTACATGCATTATTGCTTCGAAGCAGGTCGTCAATGCAAAAAATAACAATCATTATTATTTAGTTACTAAATAAGAAAAATACTTCTAGCGTATCATCTTAAAACGATATGTTCACATTTATAAAAATATTTTTTTAATAATTTTTATACTTTTTAATAAATATTCTCATTATTTTTAAATTATTTGTATACTTTTTTTTTTTTACTAAATATTTAAACGATTTTAAACTTGTAAAAAGTTGATTCCATCCCTTCTTTATTGCAATTTAAAGAAAAGATTAGAGGTTTAATTCATTAGAAATTTTTACATTGAATCTCTTGTTTAGTTACCAAAAACCTACAAAAATTCTACGCACCTTAATTTTACAAAATTTAAATCATTCCTTTATAATATTTAAGTCTCTTCACAAAGCTGATGCTAAAGGTTAAGTTACGTGATTTGATAGCAGAATATCTTTTGTCATTGAACACATCAAGGCAGAATCAAAAATCTATACAAAATTATGTGTATAAATAAAATGTCAATTTGCTTACAAAAACATGTATAATGTAAAAATACCAAAAAATTAAACAACAGTACAAAATAAATATCAATTCAATACGTGGGCGTACATCATGTTTTATTTATCTATACCATTATTATGTTCTACTTCAATTGTTATGAATAGTTATAAGTGTGTTCAAATGTTAATCAATAAATAAAAAAATATTACAATTTGTTAACAATTCGTAGAGCATGTTTTTATGAGGTACTTTAGTTTGTGCTCTTCAAATGAGTTTCGCTTCAAATCAGAAAACACGAGATGTTTCAACTCCAATTTGAACTTGACCCACACAGGTACATGAGTCCAGTAATAACAGAGCAGCGGCTACATCTAATTGGAATGGTTGCTCTCTGGCTCTCGTATGCCTTTTGCGCCATAACAGCACCGTCCGTGCTGTTAGTGGTGCTACACTGCTCTTGATCGCACGCTCTCAGTCTGTACACGTCGCTCGATCACATTCGTCATTTTTGCTGGAACAAAAATATCGGGAAACAAATAAGTGAAACAAAGCAATACGCTTTTCGTGAATAGAAACAGTCTGTGTTCCATGTGACACAATTACTTAACTCCCCCTTACCCCCCGCAAGCTATCGCGTGAGTTGAAAGAAGACTGAGAATGCCCGCGCCTGTTAGTGTCTGCGTCCCTCTTTTACACTCTCGTGAATTGTTTGCGGCACTCTTGTGTGTTGTTGTGTTTTTTATCGTGATTGTCGCCTGTTAGTTTGGTTTTATTTTATCTGCCGCCTTCTTCGCCTGTCCACATCTCTGTTGTACGAGTAACTGGCGTTGCTCCCACCCACTTATTACCATCCACCTCCCGCTTCGCAGATCATTCAATTCATTTTCTAACAACCTGCCCCGATAACTGCTTGTTCAGTCGTGCTCCGAACTTCCGACGCAGCGATCATAAGCCAACTCCGTACGATCCCAGATCAGTGTTCCGGTGAAAGTATCCAGTGCGAAATCATCGTGTCTTGGGACATATCAAAGTCAGCCAAGTATAGGAAGGCATTGAATCTTGGCCACGTTATCGATTTTCTAACAAGCTGCAGAAACTGGCACACAATTCTTCAGAATTCTTTGCCAGACGGAGTCGCCTCCAATGGAAGAATTCTCCCGTCGATTTTCAAAGCGACTACAGTGGACACTGGTTAACTCGAAAAATGCTAAATGTTACATTTTTAACAAACATATTTCCCATTTTCTTTTTTAATTTTCTAAAACCAATTGGCGACTTCATCATCAATTCAATGCTTAAGGAGATTCAAATTAAAAAAAAAAAACGTTTAAGAACTAAAATAATGTAAAGTGCTGAGTACGGTTAGCGAGTTACTGCTTACCAATATCCACTGTTAAGTTATTTTTTGCCTTGCGGCGGAATTTTCTGCGTAGCCCAACTTGTGCATACGGTTGTGGTCAACATAATATCTCCGGGCTATAAAAATTATATTACCCACTCACTTAATAGTTAAAAGTAATATTAATTTCAATTCGTTTGTAATGTGATTATATGATTTTACTTCTCTGAGGAAAGATGTGTTAATAATTAAGAAAATTACACAAAACTTTAATTCCTTGTTCATTTGTACTCTGTGCTATTGTGCTATATGTGCTATTATTTTGACCGCAGCTGTGTGCCTATAAATGTTAGACGTCTTTTGTTTTTACAATTCTTTGCCGAAAACTGAAGAAATGGGAATGGAGTATCGATTGCTGGTGCTGTCAACAAACCGTTAAAAGATTTAAAAATTCATTATCGATTCGCGGATTGATTTCCCCTTTTGACTGCTAAGAAGTGTTACAAATATAGATAACGATACTTGACAATGAGAATTCTTACTGGTTGACTCGGAACTGGGCGATCTCAACCAGCTGTAATACAGGAAACACTCACTCCGTAAAGCTCCATTGCCGAGCTAAGCGCACGTACCATGTGCGAAGTGCTATTTGTGACAGGCAAACTTTAGTATTCATGCTCACATCTCGTTCGTGACCGAAAAGATAGAACAAGCTACAGCCCGGGCCCAGAATCGATTGGCGTGCATCCACGAACGCGAATTGGCGAGAGGGTCAAAAGGTACCCACCCTCGCGCTAATGATAAGAATTCGTCCCATCGTAGTCGTTTCTGTTCCACCAAAATGATAGTCATCAATGCCTTTGACGTAAGTGGTTCCCACTAACTTATATATGTACATTCATATATTCATACTGTGCTCATTCACAAATACCTTTGTGTGCACATATGCTTGGGTTGTTGTGGGTTTGGAGGTGGCTGTTCGTTTTTAAGTAAATGTTCACTGGCTGTCCGGGGAGAGTATGCTAATTATAATGAGTTCCTATCCTTCCAGAAGCCCTGAAAGATGCTCAGAGCTAGGCGCACCATTAGTATTTTTATTGAGGAGCAGGTACAGAGTATTATTCGTATAGTAAGTCCCCGACTCGGATCAGAACTAGCTTGCGTTTAGGATGGGAATTTCCATCGGTTGGTAGTTGATGTTCTGCCTTGACTTTTGCATTGCTAATCTGAGCCGACTTCATAGCTCAAGACTTGGTTGCAAATGAGTTAAGCGGGGCTTATATAATTTTTTTTTAGATCCCCTTACACACCACGTGAAGTCTATCCGGTTTTCTGGGAAGGGACTGCCTGGTACTGAGCTATTATCTCGTTTGGAGATATGGTTAATGTGGGAATTTAGGAAGGTACTAGCCAGTCTCCTACCATACCGGAATTTTAGGGTACCAGACTTCTAATCACCGCGGCTCCCTTCTATAATATGCCAATCACGTTTCGCAACTTTTTTTCGAATGTTTGCGCGAGAGCCATCAATTTAAGTGCACAATTCCACTTTACACAGCCCTATCTATTTACCTTTCAAAAAGCGACAACTGTGAAAAATTTTTTGTGCTCGGCATTTGAATACACAAGCCCAAAAAGAGAATATTGCCGCCTCAGGGTGCGGTGATGAAAGAACGAGAGGGCCACAAACACACAAGCCACTACAGTTTGAGACATGAAATTGGGACGAGTTGTTGGATAGTTCCACGAGGAAGGCTTTTCTTACTGAAGACAGACAAGCTGCAGGCAGTTTCCGTGCCATGATAGTAGTATTCAGCTATTGGTTGGTTTAATTGGTTAGGCCACACATTATAATAACACTGATGATATTTAATAATTCTACACCAGCCTTTATTCCATTTGGTTCCATTTCACAAAGTTCTAATTGAAAACTGAAAAAATTATAAATTATAAAAGCCACAAAAGCAGGGTTTTTTATAATGATGCATGAAGCTTTGCCAAATTAACTAAAACAAACCTCCCCCTTCCATCCTAATGATTCATAATCATTGTATTCTCTGAATCCGAGATATAAATGAAAATTTAATTGGTCTAACTAGAATTCATGATAAAAAGCAGGGCTTACATAAAAAGTCTTTGACTTTGAAGACAGATTAACTCCTCTCTCTCTCTTTTGGACTTGTAAGGAGAAGTGGGAAAGGGCTTCAGAGGAAAGAGCTCTATCCAATGATATACTCAAAAATTAAAAACTGCTTTTAAGAAATTACTTTTATCCACTGTTTTAGTTTCTTGATAGCTTTTTGCAGTTGTTTAAGTTTGATTCGGTGATATGATTCATACAAATCGATAACTTTTAATCTGAGCTTAGGAGCTTAGCGGTTAAACGATAGTTCAATCGATCAAGAATTGGGCTGACCATGTCATCTTCAATCCTAATTTTTAATCCTTAATCCTTACCTTTTGATTAGCTTTATAAGTTCGAACAATAACCGACATTGAACACAAGAAAATGTGCAGAGGCGTCGACATTTGGATCTATGGTAAAAACGAGAGAAAAACAATTGAAAGGATAGTCAAAAAAAGGTATACATTTTTGCAATGGAAACAGATTATTTCGCCAAATAATTTTGATAGCGGAGGAGTTATAATCTTAAAAAAAAAATGTTATATTTTTTCTTATCAATTAATAGTTTTTTCGTCACAAAATTTGATTAAGTGACATTTTTCCCGTTTTTTCAAGAATAATTCACTTATTATACGGTTGACCAAACTTCCTTCTGATAGTAACTTCTCTCTTTTCTTTACACCCTTCCACTCGGAAAGCAGATAACTAACACGAAAAAGGCGATTTGGTAGGGGTGTCTCAGCGGGTATCCTGCCAGACTATGTGAAACTTCAAGAAGGATGATAAACTTGTTGACAACTGCAAATTAGCAAGAGCTCAGTGGGGTAAATGCATGTTGTTGGCCAATGAGCTTGTTATCAGGAATAATGCTAAGTGGACGTGGGAATAAAAAAATGGGAGTTTGGGTTTTGGGAATGGTGGTCAAGAGTTTATTAAGTAAATTCGCTTTGTTACTTTTTGCATGCGCAGACACCCTGATTACTATATGCAATAGAAATGTAATCAATTACCTCAAACCATTCTGATGTTTTCAAAGTTTAGACTTAACAATTCTATTCTCTCTCCCCAGACGGGCCTGACCCTCACACCCGAAATGCTGTTATCCACCTCGGAATCATCGACCCACAGCGCCTCCGAGGTCGCCGGACGACTGCAGGTCGACGTGCGGACTGGTCTCAAATGGACGGAGGCCAAGTACCGGGCTAAGATCATCGGGCACAACGAGCTTCTGCTCGTGGCAGAGGACCCCACCTGGAAGAAGTACATAGAGCAGTTCAAGAACCCGCTCATTCTGCTCCTTCTCGGCTCAGCCCTAGTGTCCGTTATTATGAAGCAGTTTGACGATGCCGTAAGCATAACCATCGCTATACTTATCGTGGTCACGGTGGCCTTCATCCAGGAGTACCGCTCCGAGAAGAGCCTGGAGGAGCTGAAGAAGCTGGTGCCACCCGAGTGCCACTGCCTGCGCGAAGGTCGTCTGGATACCTTTCTGGCACGTGAGCTGGTTCCCGGAGATATTGTGCACCTCAATGTGGGCGATCGGGTGCCCGCCGACGTGCGCCTCTTTGAGGCCGTAGACCTGTCTATCGACGAGAGCAGCTTCACTGGCGAAACGGAGCCAGCGCGCAAGATTACCGACTTGCTGCTGAACAACACGAACGTAAAGGACCACAGCAACATGAAGAACATTGCCTTCATGGGTACTTTAGTGCGGTGTGGAAACGGCAAGGGCATAGTGGTCAGCACTGGAGAGCGGAGCGAGTTCGGCGAAGTCTTCAAGATGATGCAGGCAGAGGAGGCTCCAAAGACGCCCCTGCAGAAGTCCATGGATATACTGGGCGCCCAGTTAAGCTTCTACTCTTTCTTGATTATTGGCGTCATAATGCTGCTTGGCTGGCTACAGGGAAAGCCGCTCTCGGAGATGTTCAACATCAGCGTCTCTCTGGCCGTTGCGGCCATTCCTGAAGGCCTGCCTATCGTGGTAACAGTAACTCTAGCACTAGGCGTGATGCGGATGGCTAAGCGGAATTCTATTGTTAAAAAGCTGCCCACTGTAGAGACCCTGGGGTGCGTAAACGTCATTTGCTCTGACAAGACGGGCACCTTGACCAAGAACGAGATGACGGCCACGATTATTATTACTTCTGACGGATACATGGCGGACGTTACAGGCGCCGGCTACAACGACCAGGGAGAGATCCACATTCGCCATTGCAACAACGTGGAGATGGCCAAGACCAACATCACGAACCTTCTAGAGATCGGGGCGGTCTGCAACAATGCGTACATTCAAAATGGTACGCTGCTAGGCCAGCCCACCGAGGGAGCTCTCGTGGCGGTGGCAATGAAGAATGGCATGTACGCCACTGCCGAGAACTACGTTCGAATTCAGGAGTACCCCTTCAGCTCGGAACAGAAAATGATGGCTGTCAAATGCATCCACAAATACAACAACAATAAAGAGGAGATCTTCTTCGCCAAAGGGGCGCTGGAGACGTTGCTGCCGCAGTGCACTAAATACCAGTTCGGCACCCAGACGGTTCCACTGACCAAGCAGAACGAGGCTGAGTTCCTAGCCGAGGCGTACGAGATCGGGCGCAAGGGCCTCCGAGTTCTGGCACTGGCCAAGGGCCGATCCATGCAGGACCTGGTCTACTGCGGTCTGGTCGGCATCACTGACCCACCGAGGCCCCTTGTGCGGGAGTCTATCGAGATGCTGATGCAGAGCGGAGTGCGAGTAAAGATGGTCACTGGAGATGCACAGGAAACGGCCTTGGCCATCGGTGAGTTTGCTTTGTTTTCCCATTCAATTGACCAGTATCACGATAGTTATACGGATAAAGCTTTTCCTTGGATTCCTTAGCAACCTTAGAAGGCCCTTCTATAATCATGACGTTTAGGTGTAGTCAAAACTGAATTGTAGAGTCTTTAAGTAGCTTCTTCGTCTGGCTATGTAATCCACAAACTGTTGGCCTTAGGAACTGCCGAAACTATGTAAATAAATTTGTCCAGGCCGCATAATTAAAAGTGGGAAGGCTCGTTCCTGGCATCCACTATGCCCCTTTGACAAGGAAAAATTTATGTTTCACGAGAAAAACGAGTATTCGGAAGCGGATGTATGAAGTCCAAACTCCGCCCATGGACAAGGACATGTGAGCGAGTGAAGAGTTCTGCTCAAGGGATTGAGCTCTGCATTGGAGTGAGTGCCACGCAGTCTTGTAGTATGCAAACATAATTAATTAACCATGGGCCAGTGGCCAGAGTTTCAAGTTTTCCAGCTCAAGAAGCTATTCTTGCGAGAAATTCTATTTAGAAACGTGGGTTAGTTGCGTTCAAAAGTTTTCCACTCAAAGTAAAGGAGTCTCACTTTCGAGAAATAGGTCCCAGGGTAGCCTCCGATATATGTTACCTACCTGCTAGTAAAGAGTATTTTAATGTCCTGAGGTACAGACTTAAATATTCAACTCGTTTGGTATTGGGAAATCAAAAAGTTCAACTTGCTGAGCGAGAAGCAGGCAAATACAAAGCCAGCTCGCCAAATTGAAAAAGATAGCGGACAAAAAGACTGTAGAAAAAAGGGAGATAGGAAGGGAAGTCAATCTCAGGTAGCTGGTTCCTTTGGTGTTCAATGGTGAAGCAGCCGCCCCAAGTAAAACATCCTAAAATGCAGGAAAGAGTAAAGAACGGAATACAGCTCCGACATCGTCCTCAACAGACAGAGATAATTAACTGAGACCGCCATCTCCGCGCAGCTACATCTATCTATCACAGACGCTTCATCGTCTGCATGATGCTCATCATTTGCGCTTCTGCGGCGGGCAGAAATCAGCATCTGCATAGACGATGTATTAGGGCTTTCCCCATGAAAAATAAAGCAAATCAACATAGTTGGCCTCTTCTATGAATTTGATTTAAAATATTTCTTTTTTAGATGTTCTTCTAAACGTAGATGGACTTTGATTCAACACTCTCTGACCCTAACATTCGCCTGATACTTTGTTTATTATTATCCGTCATATTAAAGCTACCTATTTGCTAGTTGTTTTTGGTGTGCAATGTTCCTAAGTCTGTAAGGCTTAGCTTGCTGATTAGCTAAAGTTCTTAATTGGTATTACCTAAATTCTTTCAAAGGGTGACCATATATATATAGTCCGGAAATCACTCCGAGTTTCTCCGCCGTAATACACATCCAATTAGCGAAGTGCATTTTGGAATGCACTCCGGAATCGGCAAAATAATCCTGCATGTTGATTGCGTGTGGATGTCGGTAATCTTTCCCATCGCCATGAGTTGGAGGAAACAAATGGGGGAGCAGGGGGTCGGCAACCGGTCGAATGAAATCCTCACGTACATGAACTCGTTTAACAAACTGGAGGAGCATCATCCAGCTTCCAAAGGCGATATTCGGCAATGCGAATGCAAATGGCACTAGCAGAGAAACTTTCTTGACGGGTTCATGAGCTGTACGAGGCATTCAATTACCAAATGAGACCTTGTACACTTTTGCCTGTTTTTTAAAACATTGTGCACAATTTTACGTGCTCACTCGTTCACACTCCGATGCCCAGCGGGGTTGATCTGGATGGCTTGGTTCGGCTTTCAAAGTGGTAAACATAATGCTTGTTGCTCAGTTTTAGGCGCTTGACATACTCGTATTCATAAACTTTGCAGCAACTTTTGCTTTCCGGGTCACCCAGGACTCTGCCTGCTTTCGGCTTGCGGTTGTGCTGCGCTTTGTGACAATTTCATAAGCTCCTTAGCTCCCTTTTTGTTATTTCTTTCTCCCCGCTCAGGCAAAATTTTTTCTGCAACATATGCAACGACACGAACATGGTTTGCTTAGCGGGCTCAAAGCAAAGTTTGCCAGTTTCATTTTTGTACAAGTTGTTCGTAGATTATGCTGAATTCCCAACTTCAGTATATAATCTTCTAATATTCCCATAAGTTTAGAGTAATTTAAGAATTAGGATTTTCAAATCACTTTAATGACTGAGCAGAGACTGTTTCTCAATGTGGAAAAACTTATTTAAACTTGCAAATTAATTCGCTTTGGGTGCAATCACGGAATGCGGACAAAGACAGCGCATCTAAGGCTGTTCCAATGTCAGCAAACATTGTGCAATCAGATTGTAACTTTGTTGACAACGAATATTCATGAAAAGAATTATGTGATGTTTCACTATTTACATATTCAATTTTTTCTGTGTATTGTGACAAGCCAAAAATTGTACGCGGAGCTTTAGATTGTTTCCGGCAGTCGCTTAGCTGTCATCAGCAGAAATTGAAAACCGAATCGGAAGTGCAGTTTTCCTTGACGTGGATGCCAGGCAAACGCCGAAGCCCGTGTGCCCTATCTCCAGCCCGATGACCCTGGTACTGGAGCGTAAAATTGGAAAGAAATGATTCACTTTGTGGTCAATGGCGCATCCACGATGCGCTGGCACAGATATGCCATTAAAAATGCAATTTTAAATCAAATTTAATAGTGCATTGCCAGTTATTTCATTGATTGAGATAACTCGTCAGATAAAGTCGTTCAAACCAATGAAATAAAGGAAAGGCACCTATTAGTCAAATTTTCCCGATATATCGACTAGAAATAGCAAATAACGATCATTACTAAAACATTGTAATATCTTATCCTTGATTGAGTGATCCAAATATTAAAGAAATGACAGTATTTAGTAAATAATGTGAGATACTTTATGGATTCATACTGTCACAATGACCAGAGCCCCGCCGATCTGATTGCTTCTAAAGTTTCTGATATTTAACCTGACGTTTGAAAGGGCAGTCGGAAATGGCTAGCACATATACAATATACTTTTCTCTAGAGAGACGTCTCTTCCAAACTATGATGCCCAAAGCCGTATTCCACAACCCTTTGAGCGGTTAAACATCCAGGCATCCGAAATAATGGCGATCATGGTAGATCGGGTTGGTTTAAACTGGCACCAAGGCGACCGACGTCTGCAGGATACTGGCTCCTCACTGGCTGGGGTACCGTGCAAGGAGACTGGGGGCAGACCGGGAAACAACCACGAACTGAAACATTCCCGGGAGACCCTAATAACAGGGAAGTGAAGGCCAGATAGCGACGCTGCTGCTGGCCACCTCTGTAATTTCCTGCAGCAACTCGGTGGCGGGCTGCTTTTAATTGTCTGGGAACCAAGCGAATAGGGATCCAAGTCGCTGAATGCGTTTTAATTACGTCTTCTTTTGCTCATTTTGCCGCGCATCTTTCCATTCGGCCTGTTTCCACCCTGTTGTTTTTGTTGCAGATTGTTATTATTTACTTCAGCGCACTCCGGCTAAAATTATGTACAAACAGTACAAACCCTCGGATAGCATAGACGCAGTGCTCGGTACGCGGAGGACAAATACGCGGGCGCCATAATGAAAAATGGCGACGCGACTTCTCGCAAAAGTTCTCTTGGCGCTATTGTTGGTCCTTTCTCCTGCAGCTGCTGCCGGCAATTGTGCGCACTTCATAAACGCGCTCGAGTACAAAAAGAAAGGAGGCAGGAAATGGTATTGGGAGGCGGGCTGGGAAGGTGGATGCTCCATCCTAAGTTTTTAACTTTATTGCTTGGGTTTCAATGGAATTTTAGAGGAGCAAACAACTCTTTACCAGCACACCCAACAAATTAACAATTGTTTTTGAATTTTCTTCGGGGACTAAGATCCAAGTCACTGGGTTCAAGCTGTGCCGGCACACACGCGACTCTTGGCGTGGCCCTCCTCCTCATTCCACTTCGTGGAACTTCAGCCTGTTGCTTGATGTACTTCAGCGCCAATTGCTTGGAAAATGCAATGAAAGGCGATTAACTTGGCTGCCTTGGCATAAGGAATCGTCTGTGGTGCCAGGTGAACGGATTACAAGACCTTAGAAGTGAGCTCCAAGGACGGAGGAAGTTCGTTCGTTCAATTTGTTTGAAACAACACCTACCATCAACCCATTGCTCTGACATTGTTTCGATTGAATAATACTATGCATTCTGTATTTGTCTACCGCTTTTTACGTAATTTATTTTCCCTATTTCCAGCGAATCTCATCGGCATCGATACAATACACCACCAGACGCTATCCGGCCAAGAAATCGATCAAATGAACGAGCACCAACTTGACAAGGTGGCCAACAACGTGAGCGTCTTCTACCGCGTATCGCCACGCCACAAACTGGAGATAGTGAAGTCCCTGCAGCGCACCGGGAACATAGTCGGCATGACAGGCGACGGAGTGAACGACGGAGTGGCTTTGAAGAAGGCGGACATCGGCATTGCAATGGGAAAAAACGGCACGGATGTGTGCAAGGAGGCGGCAGACATGATTTTGGTCAATGATGATTTCCACACCATTATGTGAGTACACTAATTGGACTGTTAATAGTCTAGCCGTGCTGAATTTCTTCCCTTGCAGAGCCGCCATCGAGGAAGGCAAGGGCATATTCTACAACATCCGGAACTTTGTGCGTTTTCAGCTGAGTACATCTATAGCAGCCCTGGCCCTCATAGCCCTGGCTACTCTAATGGACATTGCCAACCCGCTGAACGCCATGCAGATTCTGTGGATCAACATTATAATGGACGGTCCGCCGGCACAGTCTCTGGGCGTGGAGCCCGTGGACCATGACGTGCTGAAGCAAAAACCACGCAACGTTAAGCAGCCCATGATCACGAAGTCCGTAGTGGTGAATGTTCTGCTAAGCGCAAGCATAATAGTCCTGGGCACGCTGTGGGTGTTCCAGCGTGAGATGGCCGACGGGACGCTGGGAAAGACCAAGCGGGACACGACAATGACCTTCACTTGCTTTGTGTTCTTCGACATGTTCAATGCACTATCCTGCCGCTCGCAGACGAAAAGTGTGTTCACCATCGGTCTTACCACCAACCGCATGTTCCTGCTGGCCGTAGCCTTTTCGATCATTGGACAAATGCTGGTCGTCTACTTTCCGCCGCTGCAGATGGTTTTCCAAACGGAAGCCCTCACACCGTACGACATCTTCTTTCTGGTCTCTCTCACCTCCTCCGTGCTGGTTGTTTCCGAGATAAAAAAGTGGTTCGAGCGCACAATGGAGCGAAAGATGTACAGCACCCGCTCTGAACTGGACTTCGTATGACAAAACGCAAGCGCTAGAGAAGATTTGCACCCCAAAGCCGAGTAAATTAAATAACTAAACAAAAAAACCCATAAAAAAAGTAAAACTATGCCAAAACAAGCGAGGAGCGTGGCGAATTTCAGCCAGAGAGAAGCAAAAGCCGGAACAGGAACCAGGAGCAAGGAGCAGCGTGTGTGTGTTTACTTTGACATTTGACTCGACCAATTAGCAACAAATTAACTCACAGTGTGGGTTTTGACCAGATTGTGCGTAGCAGGGATTTTCATATTTTCGACGTAACCTTCTAGGTTGGTTCTTTGCTCTCTGTAACTTTTGCATTGTTCCATAAATTGCGAAGAGTTTTGTTTTATTTTAGTGAACTGTATTGTATTGTGTTTATTATGTAAGTAGACAATTCGTGTTTAGAACTATTCTTTTTCGTTCGCTTTGTACAACTTAATTACAGATGCTCACCTATTTGGAACAAGTCCCCAAAACTATTGATATCTCAGCGTCCAGCGCACAAAATTTACTAAATTATCAAATTTTCATTTACTTTCTATTTCCATTCTATCTGTAAGTGCTGCTCTAGTTTTAATGCTCATCACGCAAATGAAGTCAATTCAAAGTGTTTAATAATCTACAAAAATGTCAGCAAACAGCAAAACAGTTTAATGTGATATTATTTTAAGCACATAACCCAGATCATTCCACAAGTGGGCGGAGTGCCAATTTTGAATTTATGTTTATTTGCATCTCATCTTGTGGAACCAAATATTTTAATTTTGAAAAATAAAACTTAAACTGTAAAGAACTTGCACACCAATTTCTGATTATCACAGATCTTACCTCTTCTCCCCGCAGCGAACAAACTGGATTGTAAATCAAGTTATCGGTTTCCTGAATTCGATTAAGTTCAGCGAATGAATGCTTTCATCAACTACGTCTCGGCCAAGATGAATCGATACAGAGTGGATGTGGGTCAAAGTGGGTGTGGAGAGATGGAAGCTAAGCAAGGCGTAGTGAAATTAAACATGGTTTTTTTTGTAACATTGATAAATAATTTATTCGGTATTTGAAAAGCAAGCAATCAGTTTTTGTAAAGCAAATCTGAGCTCTAGCGCGTTAGCAGATAAACAATTTTGACAAAATCACCTCTGTTTTATCAATAAATGGAGAGTGAAGATGGATCGACAAAAGATTTTTAGAAACTAAAAGCATTTTATTTCATATTTAAAGATTTCATGCGTTGATAGTTAGTGTTGTTTCGGATAAACTCACTTTCTGTCACAATAAATAAAGCACCTTACCAAATGAAAAATCTCACCAGAAAAACAGCACCAGATTACTCAAATGTAAAGTAATTTACGAAACTACGTTTGTATATTTAGTTGAAATGGTATTCATGATAGTATGGATCATTCAATTAACAAAATTGCAATATCAGGGTTGAATGTAAAACAGATGCAGCACGTTAAATAAAAGACAAAACAAATAAATTTGCGAATCAAGAGAGTTGTAGTCAACATTAGGCATCTCAAGAGAATATAAATGCATTTTAAATATATTAAACGGAATATTACTCAATAGAATACCATGAGTTGACTCAATTATTTACTTAAACTCTACAAATATCAAAGACATTCTATTCATATCATAACTCAGAAGTCTAAGACCCATGAAGCGCATTTCACTTACGACTATATAGAACACATTTCACTAATTCACTAAGGCATATCACATAATTTGTCGGTCTGTTTTCGATCAACCAACCTCTGCTGCAAAGACATCTTCATAGTCTTCATTATTTTGTTGAATGTGATTTATCTTTTCGCCGCTGATTGCAAATAATGGACCAATCAATGAATTATTTACTTGATCACACACATTAAGATCAGACTAGCTCTACACTGACGCACCCTCATATATCAAGGCAAGAAAAATTAAAAAAAAAAATGAAAAATGTAGAAACCAAAAAATATGAAAAAAATATATAATAATTTAATGAAAAGAGGCTCTTTAAACAGAGCAAGCAATCAAAGGCTCATTACAATAACCACGCATGAAGGCATACTAAAAGCAAATCATACAAAAACACACAGAACTACACCCACACAATTCACTGACATCTCATCCACAATGGTAACAATAATTAGGAACTTAAGCATATTTATTAATAGTAAAAAGTACATGAATGTCTGAAGGAATAATATAAATTGCACCAAACATTATGAAAATATTAGTGAAAACAGGTATACCTTAATTTATGGAACTTAAACTACACTACTCACAGTTTAGTATACGTGGAGTCCGAAATCGGTCCTTGCGATACACAATAATTTATAATGATCGATTATACTAATACTAAACGAATTCTTAACCAAAGAAAATGCATTCAACGTCTATGAATAAATGTGTGCCCCTTAAATATGTAAGTGTAAATGTTTACCAATCCCGGTTAAATCTGTATCTCCTAAATATGTTGCATACTTTCAGCATCTTCGAAAAACAGTTTCAATAGAGTCCGCTTAAAAGGAATGTACAAACTAAAGACAAGCTTACACTTTCGTTCAACACTCTTTAAAAACCTTACCCAAAGAAATTAACTATAACTATCTGTGCTATTAAATGTAAGCTTTAAGAATATATATATATATATAGATAAATACCGAGCATAATGAAAACATTCATACATATTTCGGAAGTATTTGGTACTCTGCACTAGACACTATTGAATTTAAACTTTCATTATTGTGTTTTATGAATGCCACCTTTTACCAAAGTAAATACGAGAATTATCTTAACTCAATTCATGATTTCGTAAATCGAATAACAATGGGGCAAAATCTTAAATGTAAAACGAATTATGCAATGGTAACAATACTAATATATTTAATATTTATCTGCGAAATATCGCGAAACAAATATTTACTAAATATAATAAACTTTATGTAGTACATAATTACTAGCTGATTGTCAATGGTTGGGGCAGGGGACTTAATCACTTGCATAGTTAATCACTATTTCTATGCCAGTCTCCATCAATTGCACGCTTAATTTACAGATTTATTTATTTATCTAAGGCTAACAATTAGTTAAAACTAAGAGCCAACATTTGGCTAAGAGCAATAGCTCAGCTCGGCTAAAATCGGAATATGGCTTTTTTAGATTTAAACTATGTATATATACAAAATATTATGGTACAAGGGCTTACTATTTGCATTATATGTACGAAATATGTGATTTACTTAAATTTGGGAGGTGATACCTGAGATGTCTAGAAACTTAAGAACGTTTAAAGAGTATTTATCTGTTGGGTTAGCTATTGCGGTGAATGGATCTGTATTTTGGAGGAATAGGGATCTTTGCGTGAAGAGGTAGGGGCAGGTACAAAATATATGGTGGATGTCAATCTGGGCGCAAGCTGTTCTTCGATCTGTCAAGATAGTGGGCGTTTTAGGTATGTGTGGTCTAGTCTGAAAGGGGTTATAATGATTTGTTCTCTTCTGTTTAGGGCAGAGTTTTTGTGGGGTTGAGTAGTCGTTGACAGGTTTAGTATTTCTTGGTACCAGGCGGAGGTGCGTAGTTGTGACTGTTTTTCTAGAAGGAGTGATTTTAAAAAATGGGATATGTCGTTAAGGTTCAGGTTGGGGTGTAGGTTACGGGGAATTTGGTAGCTCGTTTGGCTGTATTATCAGTTTTATTATTGCCTGTAATACCCATGTGACTGGGGATCCAGATAAGCTTAATTTTTGGTAAGTGTTCGATGACCATATTTCGAACAAGGGTTGGGTAATGTTAATGGTTAAAATAGCGTAAACTGAGGAAAGGGATTCGGTACAGATGGCATATTAGTCTGGCAACTTCGCGCATATGTGTATGTCTTCCTGGATTGCTACAATCTCACTCGATTATACCAAGCAGAACATAGGTAGGAGTATTTTTTATTGTTTCACATTCGCTTGTTATGCTGAAGGTGGTTATTCCATCGGGTTTAGATCCATCTGTGTATACGGAGTTATGGTTGAAATAGGATGACTTGAGGGAGTGGAAGAGTTGTTGGAAAACGATTTGGGGAATGGTATTTTTATTGTACTTATAGAGGGAGGTGTTTGTGGCTTTAATGATGTTGAATTTTTTGGAGAGTTTATTTTTTTGGGAGAGTTGGGATAGAATGGGAGTTGCAGATTTTTATTATTAGATCTTTGGTACTGGGATATCTATAGTTTCTTTTTTGGGGTTTGATGAGAGTTTTTAGGTGAATATCTTTGGACTGGGAGAGGGTTTTGGAGAGTTTACCGGTAAGAAAGACTCTTTTTTGCTCGATGGTGTTGATGCCCGACTCAGCCAGTAGGTTGTTTGTTGGCGTTTAGCGGATGCACCCAGGAGGTTGAGTTGAGATATGGGTGCCCAACCATAAATGAGGAGGCAGAAGTCAATTTTAGACACTATAATGGATTTAACTATTTGGACAAGACTTGTTGTATTGATATTAGAGAAAAGAGGTGTTTGACAATGCCAAGTGGTTTAGTGATCTCAGATATAAGTTTGTTAATGTGTGACGTCCAATTGTATTTATGATTGATGGTAAGGCAAAGTTTTTTTAAAGTTTGTGTGCTGGGAATAATGGTACCGCCTGAGAATATCTTAACATTGCAGTTGTGTTTGCGGCAGATGTGGATTTGACATTTTTCTACAGAGAGAATGAAGCCACATAGACATAAAGTTTTTGATGTAGTGTATGATTTGGGTTTACGTAAATGGGGCTATATGAGGATAGGACAAGGCTAAGTTTAAATGATTGGGGGATGTGGGAAGAGAGAATGCTGTTAAAGTGGTTGACTATTCTAAGTTTTACAGGGACAGGAAGGTTTTTGATCATGGAGTAGGAACTTCTGTCAAGGCCTGATTGATATCCGTAGTAAAACTACGGATAGAAGGCCTTTTTGCTTCTCTGACAGCCATTTTGAGTTTTGCGTTTGCTTTTTGTATTCGATGACGTTGCAGGTATTAATCTCTCTCTTCAAGATACTCCATTTAATGGATTTATAACGTTTGAGGAGAGTTAGATTCCTGTTTCACCAAGGAACTGTGCGATGGACGGGAAAAGTCTTGGAGTATTGAGTAGTGGGCATTTTGAATAATGATTTTTTTAGAAGTGCTGCTTCGCGGTTAAGGGTTGGGTGGATTGTCGTCTTAAGGAGGAGGGATTTCTTCTTAAAGAGGTCCATGTTTGCGGATTTACATTTGGAAGAAGGTTTGAATAGAAAGAGGGGAGAGGATGGGTCGATAAACATGGTCGTCCAACTCTTCCCAATGGATCTCGGGTGCTATTGGGGATGATGCGAATGATAAGTCAATGTTGGTAAAGGAATTGTGAGTGGAGAAATGGGTCGCGGATTTGGCGTTAAAGAGCGTGAAGTCAGATTTGTCTAAGAAGTCCGCTATTCTTTTCTGGCGTTCTGTTAAGGTGATCCCCAGGAAGGGTGTCAGCTATTAAAGTCACCTAAAACAAGTGTGTGAGTATTAGGCAAATCAAAGACATTTTCAAAGTTATTGAAATTAAATGATTTGGAGGTGAGATGTAGGCAGAGATCACATTGAATTTGTATTTAGAGTGTATGTTAACCCCGACAGCAAAAAAGTCTGAGCTCAGCGAAGTAAGGTTTTGGGAGATGGAGTTATGGATTATATGCCGCCAAAAGAGTTGTGATTGTTGGCGCTAGTGTAAAGTGTATAATTGATTAGGGAAGAGAGTGAGGAGAGGTTTAATAGATGGGTTTCTTGAAGGGCTAAAATGTGTGGATTAACAATTGTTGTTCTGTGTAGTTGTTTCTGCATCTGATCGCTCCCAGCTTTCTGAACACTGGGACAAGCAGTAAACTTAACATACCACCCGCCAATCCTAGACCTAACATGAGAAACCTTCGCTAGTCCGGTCCGTCCTGGCGGTGAGTGGGGCAGAATATCTAGTATGGGAAAGTAAACAAGAAGTGTGCGCAAGAAACGAGTTAATTATTAAAGAGGTGGGTAAGTGACGGCGCTTAAGAACGGATTGACAGTGGAAAGTCCTGAAAGGATCCATCCAAAGCGTGTGTTCTAAGCTATGAGCTCGCCTGACTCCCAAAATGAGATCGACTCGCTTCGATCGAGAGAAGTATGGATCCGCCAGTGGGAGCCCTCGTATATAATCCCAACGCTGTGGCATTACGCTGAGGTTTTGATTTCGAAGCTGACTGTATACTTGCACCGACGACCGCCCCCAAGACCCATTCCAAAATAGATGCTTCCTATATCCTTTCTCTGGTAGCAGTCTAGGGCCAAGAAGGTTGTCTAACGGCGCAAAATATGGTCGCCGCCACAGTGGTAACAGGCACCAACAGGCACCCGGAGTGCTTCTGTGCACTGTGCATTCGCACTCGTTTGCTCGGGTCGGTTCATCCTGGGCCAGCACTGGAGTCGTACGATGAGCTGCAGTTCTCAATCGCATCCATTATGTCCAGCCGATCATTCAAAAAGGACTCCAACTCCCTGTAGGATGGAACGATGGCACCGCTTCCTTGATGGTGCTCCCAGGCGTTGTGGGTCTCCTTGGGTAACCTCGATGCTATGTAATGTGCCAACCAGTGCTGCGATTCCCCGTCCATATCTTGGACGCGGCGGAATGCAGCCAGGCAAACATTGACCGTGCTTATCATCTACCGTATTGGATCCGTGTTGTCCTTTTGCAGCCTGGGCAACGCGCAGATGGAGTTCATGTGGTGAGCGAAAACGATGCGAGGATTGTTGTACCTCTTAATCATCATTCCCCAGGCCACTGAGTAGTTTCCTTCCGTGAGCTGCATTTGACGGATGTCGTTATCGCGATTTTCTGGCAACGATTCTTTGAGAAAGTGGTTCTTCTGAGCGATTTTTTGTATTGGGATTACTTCTTTTAACTTAACAACTCCCACCCGAGTGACGACATACATATATGTATACATACATACATATATACAAAGGAATAGTCGACTACCAGATACCCAATACTGTTAACCAATTTTAAAATAATATCTTGTCAGGAGCTAACAATATTAATAGACCCATCTGTTGATATAAAGACGTCAGTTCATATCACCATATTTTATTAATAACTTCTTTAACATAATTGGTTGCCAATGGAAACACCAACATAAGAACACTCCAAAACTGGGCGTGAATGATATTAGTGGTCGTACGGACGAACCGACGGACGAGCATGAATCAACCATGTATACCATATATAAACATACTATGTACATATATACTTTTCCAGTTTTCAATTAAATCGTTATATTTTTTTGTTTGGCTATTTGATCATGAACATTTTTTAAATTAAATTTAAAACTTATCATTTGGTGACGTTAGTGTCAAACTGCCGTTTCTTCTCGAAGAACCGTCTTAGTGCCCACATAAATTGGCTAGATGGAAACGGTAAAATTAACAGTTCGGGCTTCAGGAAAACCCTTGGACAATTTGTGGTCCCTAGAAATATTTTTGGAATTATTATAAATTAAAAAAAAAACATTAAAGCGATGGCAGCTCACCACATAGGGGCACGTGTGGTTGTTACTTATATTTCTGGCCTAGGTCACTTTTCGCCATATTAGGACCAATTGGCTAATTCCAAAAAAAACTTTTTGACTTTTATCGATAAAAGCCCCATACAACTTTGCCATATGTGAACACATTTGATATCGATATACGATTAATCAAAAACTTACCTCGGCATAAAAATTTAATTAACTCGTGAACACTTTCGAGCAAAAATTTTTCACTAATTTCGACGTGGAAATCTTGTCGTGATAATACAAGATCGCATCGATGAACTTAAATCTTTGTATGGCGATGAAGCGCCATCATATACTCGTAGCACTGTGAAAAACTGGTTCACTGAATTCCGATGCTCGCTCGAAGACTAGGATCGTGGACACTGCCAGAGAACATTAATGCCGACCGTGAACTGATAATGTAAGAAAGTATAATCTTATCTTAAGCGATATTTGTAAATATATATTTATATTTTTTTAATATTGATCAATTTTAGAAGGATGCTGAAGAATATTATACCCGTTACTCGTAGAGTAAAAGGGTATACTAGATTCGTGGAAAAGTATGTAACAGATAGAAGGAAGCTTTTACGACCCTATAAAGTATATATATTCTTGATTAGGATCAATAACGAAGTCGATTGAGACATGTCCGTCTGTCCGTCCGTCCGTCCGTATGAACGCTGATCTCAGGAACTATAACAGATACAAAGTTGAGATTAAGCATGAAGATTCTTAAGGTCCCGGGACAGCACAAGTTTATTTTAGCATCCTGCCACGCCCACTCTAACGCCCACAAATCACGGAAAACTAAAATCGCTGAAATCTCGCGAACTATTAGAGCTAGAAAGTCGAATTTCAGTATGAATAAACTTTGGATGCCAGCGCATCTTTAAGTGGTACTATTATCCGGCCACACCCACCCATACGCCCACCAAGCTCAAAAGACGGTTTTCGCATTTTCAAGAAAACCTGATATCTCTGGTAGCCACGCCTACCCTAACGCCCACAAAACCCGAAAAACCAAAAATGCAAAAATCCCGGGAACTAAAAGAGCTAGAAAGTTAGGAATATGTATTTCAAAAATGCCACTGCAACAACCACCGCGGAAAACTGTGGCGTCTATAATAATATTATGAATGCCTTCGTTTGAACTTGTATAACTTATTTCTGTTAATATCTATCGATTTACCAAAGATTTTTCAAAACGGAACATCATTTCGCTACTTATGAAGAAATGTAGGTTTTAAGGCATCTCATGGGCAGTGACGTCACTATCAGTTAATCCAACAATAGGTGGCGCTTGGAGAATTTCCACTACCAAAATGAATATTTAAATATTGTGTAAAACAGTAACGGGTATCTTATAGTCGCGGCACTCGACTATAGCGTTTCCTCTTGTTTTAGCGATGGGATCATAGGATCATATAGATGACGGCTTATCTCGACTCACACCCTTCAGGCGACACTTATGCAATACAAACCACACGACATTTGTCATATTGAAAACAACCGCTACCTAAGTAATTTATTTAAAAATTTAGGCGAACAGCGACCAACTGATGGACGGTCAAAAACTTTCTCACTCTAATTTTAATTTATTTTTTTTTATGTAATCATTAAATTGTTCAATATTCTTTTGGATATTATGTATTACTTGTGTTTCGAAAAATCCTTTATAAACAATAAGGTGACGTTTGTGTGCCGGTAATTGGCATTGGATTCCCTCATTGTAACTATAGAGAGGGCGGATCGATGCGATGCTGAGCGAAAATACTATCGGAATTTTTGTCTAACTTTGAAAACGCAAGTTTCCAAAATATATTAATAATTATTATGAGATAACTATGAAAAGAAAAGTTAAATTTTCTAAATAAAATTAGTACCCCACTCTTGACAATGACGTTCCGTTAGTCTTTCTCTAAATTTTGAAACTTTTGCTCCCTTTAGAACACAAATATTTAGTTACACTTTTCCGGAGCTTTTTCTGACACTTTGCCCAAACGTTTTCCTTCAATCAAACACATATATTTTAATACTATACAATACTAATCTGTACTCATATAACCACTGATAAATTTATAGGTATGAAATCGCAGGCAAAGGATGACCCGAAGGATGAGCGACGGTCATATGCCAGAGAGAAGGTGTTCATGTACAGCAACAACGTGTTGATTGGCAACTGGTATAGCAATCGGTTCCAAGTGTCAACACTTAGTGGCAGTTCGATTTTGCCTGGCCTGATGACCGAGAAGGGCTGCGAGCAGCACCTGACCTGCAGCCAGTCGACGTACCTTCCCTTCGACTACAACCAATCTGTGCACGAGCACTTGCTCATCAGGAACCGGATGTATGGCAACAAGGTCTCGCAGAGCGCCAGCATGACGTTGCACGATGAGGATCAGTATCTCAACAACTACACCACCATGAACACGCTGATGTTCTACCTGTTCCCCAAGATGCAGCTGGAGCAGTGCCTGAAGATGGAGGATGCTGGTCAGTCGAACTTCATCCCAACCAGACCCGATGGTCTCGCCAGCTATGGCAACTGCAGCCTTGTCCACAATAAGTTGCGGTGCAAGCTGGCCAACGAGCGTCCTCCAGGCGGTCTGACGAGCTACAGGGGCGAATTCTACGCGAAAACTAAGGCAAAGACCGATAACGTAAAGATCGGCGAGTGGGCAGTTGCGGATGAAGCCACCAGGAAGAGAGATCGGGATAGGTTCATCTTTCTTAATTGCAATATTCACGACGACTAAGAAGGCTTCAAAGCTGAAAAGTCTGCAGATAAATCCGAAATTCGTGGTAAACCTTACACTTTAACAAATTAATAAAAGACACAAAAAAATTGTTTTTTAGTTTTCTTAAGAAGTACGGAGGAGGCTATGATTTGCTTTTTAAGTTTTAGAAGTCCTAAAATTAAATAATTATTTTGATGTTGTTTTTGCTTTTTGTTTTTGTTTTTTTATTTGCTGACCTTTCCAACACATTCGCGGGGACATGGATGGGAAAAACCAAAAGTCCTTGGCGGATGACATGGCCACGCCCCAATACCGCCCGGAGGTGTTGATCGGGAACTGGGCTGAGCGGCGCTATGCCGTTGAGGAGCAGAGTAACGCCATCTTGCCGGGCATCTGGGTGAGTGGCTGTGAGCACCATCGGTCGCTCTGCCAGGATACGTACAACCGCTTCCCCTTCGATGCTCTCGACACGGTTTCCTTCTTCGTAGAGCAACGCAAGCAGGCTTACCAGAACTTCATGAGGAATAAGGGGTCGTGCTTGAATTTTGTGGACCATGAGCTACTAAAGCGAAACTTCACTACAACGAACACTCTGGAGTTTCAGGAGCTGCCTCGACTACGTCTTCTGCAACCGAAAGGTGAGAAGGAGAAGAGTGGTCCTCCACAGCAACCGGTGGATGTGGACAGACTACAGGCCTTTGGGAATCTTACCAAGACGCACAACTATCTCATGCGATTCAAATGCCAGAAACTGCTGGACGAGATCAGCTACATGCAGACTAGCTACTCCGCCAGCTTCAACCGCCCCTGGAAGAGTAACCCAATCTTTGAGTACGGACCAGACTACGACGGAGTCGTAAAGTTCGACTTGACCTGCTAGATGCTATCTTTAGACTGAGTTCCAAATTGAAAATGTGTTCTTAAATGAAACAAAAGCCTCTATATTACAAGATTCAATTTATTTCAAATCATTTTCTTGTATAATTATATGGGTTCGTATTTTAAGTAGATCTATATTTTGGATGCCAGAAATTCATTTTTGTTTTTGTTTTTTTTTTTTTTTTGCACACGCCGTGGCGTTGGCTTTTCCATTTCCATTTTTGTGAGCTATTTATTGGAAATTAGTAGGTCGATAGATGTTTACAATACTTTTGCGTTTACCTTTCTTTTGCTTTGTTACAGAATATATATTTAAATATTAATTAATTATTACAAAAAGTAAAACTTTACGACATTAAACTAGACGACGCAAGATTTTGCATAAGTTTACTTGCTTAAATATTTTATTTTTGACTCGGTAATATTTGTTTGCCTTAAAATCTTATTTAATATTTCTTTTGAGTTCGATTAATTTTGGACTGCCACGATAGCTTTCTTTATAGTTCGTATATTTTTCTTTTTGCTGACGATTACGTTAAAAATGATGCTTAAAATCTAAACCAATGGAAGTTGTGTGGGTCTGAGTGTGTGGTGGATAATGTTTTGTGTGGCTTGGTGGTTGCATGTTGCATCGTTTTTATGGAGGGGTGTGTGTGATTCTAGGGATTACTTTTATTTTGGCTGGTGTAATGAATTTTCTGGATATATGTTCGCATATAAGGTGCTTTAATTTGCTTATAACAATTACAATTTTGAATTTTTGCTTGTCTTTGGATTTAGTAATTTTAATTTTCTTGATGGTGAATTTCGTTCAGTCACGTGATTTGCTTTTCGCTCTAAACTTTCACTTTCCGATCATGCTTAAAGACTTGTTTTTTTCCTCCATTTCATTTTCCTTACGTTAAATACCTAAAGTATTTAGTTTTACTTAATTTGTATGTAAAAAATGATGCTTATACATTTGGCTTAAATTTAACTTTTGTTTTGGTTGCTCCGAAAATGTAATCAAACGTGAATTGCCTTTAAGTAGTTGCCATGACTCGAGTATACCTTGTTTTGTGCAATCAATTTTGGAATGACCGAGATAAGTTGATTTTTCCGAGAATTTTCGTTTGAATAGGCCGAGAAGGTATATATATTTTGTTTATTTTTGATCAAGACCTTAATCTTGTATTTTTTACTCAATGCCAGCGGTTAAGTCACCATTTCTTATTCAGATTTTGATATCTAAAGCATGCTTTTTCGATTTTTCGCTTTTCCGCGTTTTCTTTCGCTCAAGTGCAAATTTTCTTCTCCAAACTTTTGCTTCCTAACGTTTGCAATGTTCCTTTAAAAGTTTTCTCTCTAGATTTTAATGTAAATATTATTTTCTGAATTATTTAGAGAACCATATTTCATAGGCAAATTATTAAGTGGTGTATTATGAAGCCCGTTTTTGGTTCAGCCGAAACAATGATGGTTTTGCTAGTCAGAAGTATTTTGTTAATTGCTATGTTTTTCAAACAATGTGATGGTTTTCCGGTTGTAGTTGTAGTTGTTCGTGTAAAACTAAGTTCGACAAGTTAACTATTAACTTAGGATTGGTTTAGATTGGAAATGAACACTAACGATTGAACAAACTAATAATCATATACATCACGAGCTGTTATTGATGTCGGTAAGCCAGTTTTATTGTTTCGGTGCAATCTGTTTTTTAATTTATTTCGTTTGTACCAATTAATTAAATTTTTACCAGGAAAGTGAGATTTTTGTTTTCTTGCTCTTGTCTCTTGTAATATAAAAAAGTTTTACATTGTTTTGGTTTGATTTTCACTGCTTATGTCTTTTATTTATATATGTATAACTTGCTTTTTACATTCAATCAATTCAAATCATACAAATTCAAATATAAAAATGCTTAACAATCTTTAGCTATTGTTACTCTGCTCTTGGTTTTGCTTTACCTCTTTAAAAAATATATGTATATAGGTTCTTAGCTTGTTCTTGCTTTATGCTTTTTGTATACTTTATTAAATCGCCTCTGTTTTCTATTTATTTTGATTCGGTTCAATCTGCATCTGCCTTTCATCTTGCTATGTTTCCCATCATCACATCTCATTCATCATCTGCTGAATTTCGTGTCTTGGAGGCTGGGTCTTTGGGTGTCTGCTGTATAAAAGTCGGTCAATAAGAAAAATGTATTGTTATTGTACTATGGTTGCTGCTGCTGCGGTATCCGTTGCATTTTGTATACGTTGTAAATTAAAAGATTTTTTCGGTTTATTGTTATTTACTTGTATCAGGCTATTGGCTTGGCTGGCCCAGGGCAGGTACTGGTCCTGATCCTGGCAGTATATCACTATTGCTTTGTTTCATTCTATTTTTGTTTTGGTTTTTGTTTTGATTTGATGGTTTTGATTAAAAGAAGGTCTGCTGAACAAACCAAAAATCAGTTATCGGTTAATCGTCAATTAAATTCTCACTTTCTGATAAAAATAAATTACAATTTTGGCTATGGTAGCAGTGGTCATACATTCATTCTGCATGGATATGTTGCGTTCAGCTGATTAACTCTTAGCGACAATGTTTGAAACTCGATCGTACCTTTGGTATCTTTGAATTCTGATTTCTGGATTCCGATCTCTGGGCGCATTAGCTATTCATTAGCAAAATTAGTGAAATAATTGATTTACTTACGTTGGTACTATTGCATTTGCAGTTGCAGTTTGTGATTGCTTATGTACAGTTCGAGTTCGAGTTGAGTTACAATTAATAATAAGTGCCTCCCGCCCGCTTTCGGAGCAGGCTGGTATTCGCATAAATATAAATAAAATTTGTTTCTATTGACTCTGCTCAGTTATTATTTCTATGGTAGTTATTAAATTGTAGTCCCTGTCAATTGTTTATAATAATTACAAACGTATATATTAAAGAAATCTCAACATAACAAATTGTGTTCGGTTCGTTCTCCAATCTGATCTAGTCGGATCCTTCGGGTTATTTAACTTAACGTTATCGATATCGTTAGTCATCGCACGATAGCGATAAACTCTGTTCCACTCGCAAGCACGAGCAAGTTTTAAAATTATGTATCATTTCATTTGCATACTTCACTTAACACTTAATGGAATATATTTAATGTCTGTAAGTAAATGTTACTATGAGTTCTCCTCTGTAGTTCATTTTTTCGGCTTTTTCGTCGATCCGCGTCGACTTTTACTATTTTTTTTGCTGTTTTTTTTTTCAGTTGTAAGCTGTTTGATTGATTTACCTTAGTACCGCTGCTATTGTTTGTTGATATTCTGATTTCTATTTATTATTTACTCGAGAGCTGAATTCGTTTATTGTTTGTCGGTTGCTTGTAAAAATTCTGTAAAATATTTTCGGTACTATTTCATTCGGCTTGTGGTTTGTTCCTGTTGCAAAAACAACAATTCGTATATAATATAAATAAATTATTTGATTTCTGTCTGTAATAAATTACTTGTTCTATGGGCACATTGTGTCTACTGCAAAAAGTGGACGTACATCTGGGCATAGACTGAGGCCGGGACCTTTCACTGCAATTCAAGAACCAGAACTCAAGGCTTATGTTTAAAGAATGTTTAGTTCTTTTGGGATTGATAATGAACTCAAATTAGTTTAAAAACGCGACTGTGTTAGTGTTTAAAAGGAACTGGATTTGGCTTGTTCAGCTAAACTGAAAATCAGGAAAAAGCGGACCCAATACTCTTTCTATGCCAGTCTCGTCCAGATTTCTGCAATAATTTGAATATAGAGTTTTATTTTTATCAATATCGCCATTAAGGCGTAATTAACAACTAACGAGGCTATTGTTGTTTTGGATTCATTTCACTTCTCTTTTTTTGAATTTCTTCAAAGCAAAAACGGGTTATGGATGCATTTTTGCAATCTCTGATTTGTTTGTTCTGAAAACAAAAGCTTTTAACTGGCGTTCAATACAATTAAAAGTCTGTGATTCCTCCTATTCCCGCAGCTGGCTGCTGTCACAAACTTTTTAAGGTTACATCAAATATAAGTAGATATATCGTATATATAAAGAGTATGCCTTAATTAGGTTAAAAAATATAATACACCATACATATAATATAAGAGTTAGGGTTTCCATATGCTATACGCTATTTTTCTTATTTTTTGCATTTGTTTCACTTTAAATTGATCTTTGCTTTTGCTTTTACTTTTGAATTTGATTTATTTTATTATGTTGTTGTGTGACATTTATCATTTCCTCTTTGGTAATCGCTTCGCTTTCGGATATTTGGTAATTCAACTAAAACTTTTTTTCGAATTCACATAAAGTCCTTCTTTTCTTTAAAGTCAAATCAAACAGCTGTTTCATGGCTTTGTACCTTTATAAATACTATTATTTTCCGGTTTTATCTGTATCATTTATATTTCTCAGTTTTAAATTAATGCTTACCGTTGCTATTTCAATGTGTATTTACCTATTTGCTTTAATATTTCATTCTCTTAGCTGTTTGTTGAATTAAGTTTGTTTGTTGGTTGCTTTTATGCTTGGTGGTTGACTTAAAAACTATTATCACTATTGCAGAAAGCGGCTGTACTCAATTATAATGCATTCGCTTCTGGAAATTGCGGGGTGGAGGGTCGGGCTTTTCACAGTAAACTCTTCCCTCCATCCCTGACATTTTCTTTTCGAGTTTGCTTCATGCTGTTGTAAGTTTGTTGTGGGCATTTTCTATGAATTTTGTTTGTCTCTGGTATTAAACTATATTCTGAGTCTGAAGTATAAGCCGGAACATTGATCATTTTTTAATTATTCACAAATATTTGTAGCTGTTATTGTAGTTATTATGATTTGATTCGCTTGTATTATATTATAATTACTGTTATTTGTTTTTAAGAAGAAAGGATTTTACTTTATTTTTTTAGTTTAGTTTTTCTTTTTGGATTTTCAGGTGTCATGATTTCTTATCGAAACGCAGATTCCAGATCAATTTCTTTTTTCTTTTTGCTTTTTTCAAGCTCGATTTTCTTCGTCGATTTTGATGTGCCAAGTTTAAAATATTTCCATGCCTCTGTTACTTGAGTGTTTGTGTTTGTTTGGGGCTTTGCTTTATGGTTACATGTTACTTATGTTTACTTATTATGGCTCTTTGATATTGCAATTAAAATTTCTGCTATAAAAATTACTTGTATTTGTACTCTTGGTTATTTAAATTGGGCTATTGTTTTTTGTTAGGTATGCTTGTAACTTTGTTTGTGTTCTTCCTATTTCTTCCTCAGCAGTTTTCATCTCTGCGGTGTCTGTCTGCAGCTATGTATCATTCGACTGTCATTCAGGGTTTTATAATGTTGCAGTTTGGTCTAATTGGTTTGTCAAGTCGTACCCCCTTTACCTATGCAGGCTTACTTTCTGTCATCTCAAAAGTTACCCCATGATCAGTTATCCTTCACATCCTCCATATACGGATGTAGTTTCTATATTTGTCACGGCCGGTGTGGTCTTTGGTCTTCACTCACTGATGCCTCTTGGATGGACTCCAAGAGCAAGATTTCTCTGAAGCAGCTGGTGTACTCCATTTTGAAGCTTTCGTAAAACTCATCCTTGCTATGAAACTTTCTTTTTTTTTCTTTTAGCAATTATGAAATAATGAAATAATAGGACAACAAACAGAAAATATAAAACAAAGTTAAGTCGTATAAATAATAAGTAGTTGGAAAAGAACCGCAATTTACTGAACATCATAGGGGGATCGATAGTCTCCCGGATGTTCGGTAATTGATTTGGAGCGTTTGAAAATGTTGTTCTTAGTCTCTGTCTTTATGCTAGATTTTGTTGCGCCTAAACATATGTTTTTGTTTTTGTTTAAGTGTATGCTTTAAATTTTGTGTTAATGCCTAAAATGTACAAAAGTTTTACGTTTAGGTTGTTTTGTTTTTCATTTGCATTTATCACAGCGACATTCAGTCTAAATTTTGCTTTTATTGGAATTATAGCATAATTTGCCATAATTTACATTGATATAATCGTTTTCATTATCATTTTTTTAACTAAAACTAAACATAATTTTGATTTAAAGCCAAAAGGTTCGTGTGTCTGTTCGTCATTTGTTTGTATCGATTTTTCTTTTTCGATTTTTAAAGCCGAAAGAATTAATAAAATTTTGTCTATAAGGCCTAAAGGTTTGCTACAGCTTAGCGTTATGCTAAACTTTATGTCTTTATAGCAAATCATGCTGATCATTCCGATCAAGTCCCTTTGGTCTAATTCCAATAAAAGCCTCCATATTGGGTACCATATCATTTTTGGATGTTAGCTGCCTTTGTGCCAGAACATGCAATCATTTTTGATTTTCGATTTTGATGTGGAAATTTAATGTGCCTAAAAGGTGATTTTAAAATTTTGACTAATTTTACCGTAATTCATTATTAAATATTTTACAATGTCAAACAATTTGTTCAAACTATTTATAAAACTTTTGCTGGTAGATTTACATTTAATTTTATTTTATGCCGAAACATGCTATGTACAATTTTGAATAAGCCCTTGTTGCCGAAACTTTTGCAGCGACACTCGTATCACAAAAACCAGACGCCTGCCCAAGCCGAAAAAGTCGTAGTTTTGCATAATGTCGAAATAGTCGGGGATGCCCCCGAGTTCTGTGGGGGTATGTTAAAGGGGATAAAATGAAAAAAAAAAAGATCAAACAGATGATACGAACTGAAAATCAGATAAATCATATAATTGTTTTATTGAAATAATTAAATAATATATCCAAACATAATGCAAAATCTTTAAGCTTAAAACAGTGAAAACAAATCGTATTCGGAGCACTTGCCTTGATTGCAATAGAAACTTAATACACTAATTCCTAAATTTATTAAATAATGAGTGGAGTAGATACTTGATAAGGTGAAACGACTAAACTAAAGTTAATTTCGCTCTTCGCGGTTTTTCTTTACATACACATTGATATATATGTATACTTTTATACATAAATATGTAGGAAACATATGCTAAAAGATTAATAACAATCATAAATGCTTTGACGGTACATTGGAAAATTTGATAAGAAACTAAATTTGTCGATTATATCCACACAGTTGGCAGGGGATGAACGTGGATGGTGGGGTCGGGTGGTTCTTAAAGTGGTGGAACGGTTTGAGTATAGGATAAAATGTTGATACGTGTTATCCATCATTATCTTTTGACTATTGTTCATTCGTATGGCACCTGAAGAGTCACATTTGAATTGCCTGCTATGTAAAACATAAACATGATGTTCCTGCTCCTTTCCGTTGTCTGCCTTGTGTGTGTGTGTGTGTGTGATTGTGTGGACATTTTTGGGTTAAACGTATGCCTAATTACTAAATAAAAACTCAACATAAATTACACATTAGTTGGGGAAGACATCAAGCCTGTTCTTCACTTTTCGTATCGTTAAATTGCATTCAAGTACTGTTTTATACACTTTCAAAAATCACATATCAGTTGAAATGAAAAGTAATTTCTAATAAGAGTTTCGGGGCCCGGCCCTTCCCCTTGGCTTAGCCAAGTCTCCTTGCCCAGCCTAATCTGATCATCCATAATCATTCAATAAAAATTCCAATACATCGACATACTCGTACATATCTAAGGAACAGAACTAAACTTAGATGCTGCTTCGAAAAACAAATTGCTCAGCGCCAACGTCTGCGTTTCCCCCTTCCCTGTTCCTTTCCCTTCCTCCTTCTTCCTAGCTGCCGTCTCTATCACGCCACATGTTCATACTCATATCCCATATCTGCGCTATCCCTATTTTACGCCCAATATACATATATGTATGTATATTTTCGGTCGATTGTATCAAAGATCAAGACTGGCGAACTTTGCCTTCCTTGAGTGTCCGTGTGTTTGTTTTTGTTTGAGTGTATATAAATATTTTATGTGTTTGTAGTCTTTTAAGTTGTTGGGGTGCTTAAACAAAACTATCAAAAAGGAATCGTATAACGTTGTGTTTTGGCTCTCGTTTCTCCGGCTGTCCGCTCTTGCCTCTCTTAAACAGTGACCATCTGCATTTCATGTTTATGGTTTGTTTCAAAGGAGTTTAGAGTCCTTTTCAAAAAGACTAGTACTCGTCCTGTTTCTCGGTTCGTTTGTTTGCCATTACCAAAACTGTGTTTTTAGATATAAGATTAGTTTTAAAAACTAGGAGAATTTGTATGCGTCTAATACTAGAGAACTAATCGAACCTATCAAATATGGTAAATAGTGTGTGTCCTCAACTTTGAACTCTCGCCTCCCGCACTCCTCTCTCCTACTGGTGACATCATAGAGATCCGAATATCGAGTGAATGTGTGGATGAATGGGAATCGCGTGTGACAGAGTTGGCGGGGGCGGAGGCGCAGCTCCGCTAGCCACGCCCGGATGGCCTGGATGCCCCGGGTGACCCGGATGGACCGTATGGGAGGCCGGCGGCGGCGGCAGTGTGATCGAGAGCGTCACAGTCTGCGGAGCCGCCACTGGCGAGCCGTGGGCAGACGAGGGCGTGGCCGCTGTAACAGCAGCGGCTGCTGCAGCAATGTGATGGGCGGACGATGTGGGTGGCGGAGGCGGCGGCGGATGGTGTTGCTGCTGCGCCGCAGACGGCTGTTGCTGTTGTTGTGCCCCAGTTGCTCCAGTGGTGGGATGTCACTGAGCCACCACGGAGGCGGAAGCGTTCTGCTGCACCACTACGCCGGATGCCACCGAGTTGGCCACCGTCACGGTAACGGGCGGCGTGGGTCCACCGTTGGCGTGTGCCACGCTGGGCTGCTGAGCCTGCTGCTGCTGGGTTTGGAAGGGATGCTGGAAGGGAGGTCCATAGCACTGCGGAAAGTAGAGTTCATTCTTCACTACCGACTGCTGGACGACGGCGGCGGCTGCCGCGTTGGACGCTATGCTGCGCACTGGAAGGATGTTGGCCTTGTTATCCACCGACGAAGGGTTGTTGTTGTTGAGGAATTGCTGGGCCGCCAGGCTCTTGGCGTCGTTCATCAGATGATTGGCTACTGTAGCCACCTGAGCGACAGCGTTGTTGTTCTGCTGTTGCTGCTGCTGTTGCTGTTGTTGCTGCTGCTGGTGCTGCTGCTGCTGCTGGCGGCGCACCTTGGTGGTATTGGGGTTCATGTGGTTGTCGATGTGTTTGGTCACCTCATTCTCCGTGGCAAAGCGCCTACGGCAGTTGGGCATTGGGCAGCAGAAAGGCCGATCGCCCTAAACGATGGGAAAAGAATATCATAGATTAGCACTCTGGCTCTAAGAAACAATTTCTCAATGCCAAGTTAGGATTAACTTTATAACATTATTTTAAGAACCCCAAATTGGCACTGAGAAATCGCGTCGCAGCGGGTTGAGGCCAGGCTACAACTACCTGGTGGGTCCGAGTGTGCTGGTCCAAGATAGCCTTCTGTCGGAAGTCCTTACCGCACTGGCCGCACTTGTACGGCTTCTCTCCGGTGTGAATGCGCAAGTGCTGGTTGAGGATGGTCCGCTGGCGGAAGAAGCGCGGACAGTACATGCAGCCGAAGGGCTTCTCGTTGGTGTGGATGCGCAGATGCTGCGTGAGGTGCGACTGCTGGCGGAAGCGCTTGCCGCACTCCGGGCAGGGATACGGCCGCGACTCGATGTGGATGCAGCCGTGTTGTAGCAGCGTCGTCTTCTGCTTAAACTCCTTGTCGCAGATGGGGCACCGCACGTAGAGCGGCATGTTCGCCGGCCTTACACCGATGTGCTGCAGCACCTCTGGCAGTATCTTTTGACCTGTGCGAGAATCTGATTAGAAGGTAGCCGTCTCCAAACACACCGCCTACTAGTACTCACCCTTGCCGTCCTTGAAGTACGAGGGATAGTGCATGCCGCCACTGCCGTCCGGCGTTCCCTGCGAGTCTTCGTCGTGGTACCCACCGCCCGTGCCGGCAATATCCCCCTTGGTGTCGTTGTCCTCTCCTGGAAAGGGCACGTCCGAGGGCCACAGCGTCGGGTGCGGCCCGTTCTTGAAGATGAGGTGTGGTGAGACGTCTATAAGTGGGACGTGTTGATCCGCAGAGTCATATGGAAGTAATCAAGCGAGAAAAGGCCAACTGTTAGCAGCGCTTAAACTTGGCGCGCAGCCGAGATACAAATCTTCGAAAGAGCAGCCTAGCTTTCTGTTAAGGGACGGAAAAGATTCGGTTTCTGGCTGCTGACTTGCTGCGGCGGCTAGAAGGTGGGAACCCAGCTAATTTTCGGTTCGCCTTCCGCTTCTGCCATCAGTGAGTCATCGAGCCAACAAAGTATTAGTATAGTATAATTTCGATAGCTTAGCCAAAAGAGCGCTTAATTGCAGAGAGAAGTGAATTTTGCAGGGAAATCAGTTGCCAAAAAGAATGAGACAAGCCGAGCCTGCGACTCAGCTGGCTGCACCTAGCTTGGGTCTGTCCTAGCACTAGCCCTATCTGATTCCCTGTTCGAATCTGTATCTGCATCTGCATCGGTAAGTTAGTTATCTGTATCTGTCGCTCGCCTTGGTGGGTGCGCACATGCTGATTGAGGATGGCTTTCTGGCGAAAGTGCTTGCCGCACTCGGGGCAGGCGAAGGGCTTCTCACCCGAATGGATGCGGATGTGTTGGTTGAGAATGGCGCGCTGCCGGAAGCTGCGCGAGCAATACGGGCAGGTGAAGGGCTTTTCGTTGGCGTGGATGCGCAGGTGCTGCGTGAGATGTGACTGCTGGCGGAAACGTTTGCCGCACTCGGAGCACGGAAAGGGACGTGCGTCCGTGTGAATGCGATCGTGCTGCAGCAGAGTGCTCTTCTGCTTGAAGTCCTTGCCGCAGGTGAGGCACTTGAACAGCCGCAGGTCGCTGTGCGGCTTGTTCTTGTGTGGGCGTCCTGGGCCATTGCCCGTCCTCCCGCCGGATGTCACGCCCACTGAGCCCACGCCCACACCAGCTCCTGTCGCACCACCCACGCCGCTCCCGTTGGCTCCGGTACCGCCCTCATTGGCATTGGTGTTTGCCGGTCCGGCGTTTTGCTGCCCATTTTGTTGGGCCGGCAGCAGTTCGGGTAGCGCATAGCCCTCACCAGCCCCGCCTCCTCCGCCACCACCGGATTGCTCCATGGGCAGCACGCCTTTGTTGAGATAATGCAGCGGCGGGAAGCCGGGCGGAGCCAGCATCCCTCCCTGCGGCGCCGCATGGCGGGGGGCATAATAGTCCGGAGTCTGAAAGCCGTTGCCGGGGTCGCTCTGCGGTCCACCGTTCTGCTGGACGTGCGGATTGCCTGGTTCGCCCGCATTGGAGCCCGAGTGCTGGGGGTCGTTGCTGCTTTGGTTTTGGTTGGGCGCGGAGTTCTGCTGGTTGGCGAGCTGGAACGATGTAAGACGTAGATTAGTCAGGATTTAGGCGAAGACTATCAAAAGAAGTTTACCTGGTTCATGGGGTCCTCGTCGGCGGCCCCGTTTGCACGTTGCTGTTGTTGTTGCTGTTGCTGAACCGAGGGATACGGACTTGAGGATGGGGATACCTGCTGCTGTCGACCGTCGCCGCTTCCGTTGTCCCTGGCCTCCTGTCCTCCGCCTGGAGGACTCTGCGGCTGCCCCGTAGCCGCCGCCACGGCTGCAGCCTGGGCCGCCGCCTGTGCCGCATTTTGCTGTTGTTGTTGTTGCTGCTGCTGCTGCTGGGCGGTCAGGTGCTGCTGTGCCTGCTGCTGGATGTTGGGGTACATGTCGCTGCCCCATTGGGCAGGACTAGCGCCTATGGCGCCGGGGTTGCGGTCTGCGTCTTGTGAGTCCTTATAGAGGACGTACGGTTGGCCCGTATCCTGGGTGATGCAGTACATAATCTGGCGCGGAACCTTCAGGCCGGCTGCTATGCAGGCCGCAAACGAAGCCGAAAAGTTGATGGCCATTGCTGCTCTGCTCAATAGATAAGTCCAGGTAATGGCTGCTGCGAGCTTGGGGTCCTAGTAGATTTCGCCTGTAACTTTCGCGTCGCTTTCGGTTATAACGAAGTCCCTTTTTTACTGACTTATTCTGCTGCACATTTCAGCTGGTTATCTAAGCCTTAATAGTTGTGCTGGGCTTATCGCCGCTGTGGTTTCTGATGGTTATTTGTTTCTCTTCATGTTGGTCAAATTTAAAATTCCTTTCTTCTTAAGTGTCTTATTTATTATTTTGGTTTACAAACTTGTTTTTGTAGTTGGTTCTTCCGCCTCTCCGAAAGTCGTTAGATTTTTTTTTATTGAAATGAAATTTTATCTCTCTGTCTCTGTTGGTTTAAAATGGGTTTCAAGATACTTTAATTGATGCGATTCTCCTTCGGTTCAACTGCAAAGAGAGAGATAATTATTGGAGGGGACACCGGGTGATTGATTTGATAATGCCTTTATCATCCCCCAACTGCCATTAGAAATCAACTACACCATTAACTACGCCATGTGGTTAGTATGCAAAGCGGATCTAGTTCCCAACTCCACTGCGATACCCATAAAAAGTGAAAAGGCCGGAGACATTAGCAGAAATGCCTGGCAAATTAAAAACAATGAAGATCATCAGCGGCAGATTGGGAGGAGTGGCGCATAAATGGACACCGCATGCCAGGCAGCCGAGGTCCTCCCCCCGAGCAAGTTCCCCGAGCCCCGCCCGGCGACCCACAAGCGGCTGTCCTCATGTTTTGTTGCTCTGCCGCGGTCTGTCTTGACTCACTTGTCTCCCTGGCTCTCTCGCCTTTCCTTTTTCTTTTTGGCTTCGGTTTGGTTTTATCTTTGTGCTGTTACTTCTCTTGTTTAACGACGATGACGACGACGTGACAACTTTTTAATGCGGGATCAAGGTCTCGGAGAGCGTGCGCTTTGCGGAGCACAGGCACTTCGCAGACACGGGCAGGGTCTCAGATATACTCGAACACCAGGACAGAAATGTATCCCCGGGACAGCCCGCATAGTGCTAACTGTTTCCTGATTCATAAGTAAGTGACAACGATAATTAGAAACCAAATGCCATTTAAATTGGTTTACATCAAGCAGCTATCTTTACACTTTATATATAAAGTTATATGAAGTTTCTATTTCTGCTGCTGCTTTATAAGCGAATAATACTTTTGATAGTTTCTTAATCCTATATTTATTGGTAGAAACCGACTAAGTATAATTTTACAGAAAGTTTAATAGAAAAATAGTTCATCAATGACACCAACTCCTTGGCCGTAAGACCATCCTGTTGTCATTTACAAAACCTTCCGATACTTTCTACTAATTCTGTTCGAATCCTGCTACATTTTTGCATAACCACCAGGTGACCAGGTACGAGAGCCTTGGTCGAGAATCGGAAACCGACCATCGGAAATCGACTATCGAGTGCCGAAGAGGCGAAGAGATCCAAACTACCTTGAACCCGCAAGTGAACGCGAGCTGCTTGGAACTCAACTGCACTCAGGGACGGAGGCGCAGATGCAATGTAGCTGCGTTCTCCAGCGATTGCACTTCGTGTCAAATGCAGTCGAAGTATGTACATATACGTATACGCCATCGCCACATCCACAGCCCCAGCCGCCGTGCCGTTGCTATTTGTGAATTATTGCGCTCCATTGCCAGAGCAACAGCATTTGCAATTTATGCGTTCGTTGTCGTCGCAGGTCGCCTTCCATTTCGATTCCGCGTCACACTATCTGTTTGTTTTGCTGGCTGGCCCCTCTCCCGATCTTCGACAACGCCTCTACGAAACCGCCTTTCCTCCTCCCTTGGTGTATGAGCGGCCCATCGCGCTCTTTGGCCAACCTTTGCCAGTTTACCAGATAGCCGTACTGTTCTTGGTTCTGTTAGTTAGTATGAGTTTGCGTGTAGTTATAAAATTTTGGATATTACGTATACGCTACAAATCCAAGATAAATATAAAAATCTCTTACAATTAATACGCTTTGGCGAAATATTTTAATAATTTATTCTAAGGATATCAGACAAGGATACGCCTTACGGGAAGTAGGGTGAGTTTTCGATACAACTTCAATTGTTTAGTAGGCTTAGTATAGGCTTGTCAACCCAGCCATTTCTGGCTGCTATTATCTGACTCCATTCGTTTGTCGGTATGAAGTTTTAGCCTTAAGAATGCTTGAAAACTGTCGGATAAAAAGAGCTCTTCAGATTAACTTAAAATTAAGCTTCAATCCTGATTATGCCCGTTATCTTAGAGTAAAAGGGTAGGACGAAGCGTTGTGGATTCTATCAAGCAAAACGCTCACAAACTTTTTTATATCGTTCATTTTTAGTTTGCTTAATATTGAGTAGGGTAAACAAACGAAATCCACCTGACGAGGTGCTTAAAAAGACATTGAACTTGAATCAGAAAAACTAAATTTAAAAAAACCCCTAAAATCTAATGGATCTAGTTCAAGTTGACGACTTGAACAGACTTCTCGTTGGGAAAGTTCGAGATATGGAAGTTTTCTTATATGTGTATAAATGAATACTCCATTTTTCGGCTGACTATTGCCAACGAAATTAAGTCGCCAATTTCTGGCTCACGCTTCGCTGGCAGTGAAAGTTGTCAACGCGCCCGTCTCCAGCTGCAACAGCTGCCCCACCCACAAGTCGTGGTCCACTTACAAGGGAGAATGATATTTCAGTTTATATTTCTATTTGAATGGCGTCCAACAGCGCGGTGGCCAATGACGCTTTAGCTTAGTGCCAATGGAAAAGCTTGCAGTTTTAGACTCGTGTCTCCAGCATGTGCACATGCATGTACATATCTGGTGTCGCGTAACTTGTATCTTCTGGTGCCGCGTGTGTCTTGCCTTGTGACTAGGCCGTCAGGTGTAAAGTAGGTGGAGTCTGCCCGCAATTGCCCGCCCATCTCTGCTCCCATTTCGCGCTGAGAGTGCATCTCGTTTGGCTCGGCTGCACACTCATTGAGGACGTGCCCATCACCATATTACTAAAGCACTGCCCAAAGGCCTTTAACGGTCTTTGTTATAGGGGCAGTTATAAGGAACTCGACCACTGCACTCCCATGGTATAGCATATTCCATATTCAGCATATTCAAACAGATCTGATAGGAAATTTAAAACAAATATATCGATATATGTCGACTTGCCAAGGATTTCTTCTACTGAACTTGCTCAAAAAGCAAATAATGTTCTTCGATAGAGATTTTTTTTAGCAATTTTTTTATTTCTTATAATATATTTGTCGATTAAGCTATGTCCGTCTGTTCGTCTGTCCGTCAGAACTATAAGAAAAAGAGTTGAGATTAGGCAGGCAGACTCTTGAGCGAAAGTTTATTTCAGCATTCTGCCACGCCCACTATAACGCCCAGAAACCGCGGAAAACTGCAACGTCCATAATATTATAGTGTATACCTTTGTTTCACCTTGTATAACATATTTTTCTTTAATATCTATCGACTTACCAAATTTTTTAAATCGAAACATTACTTTGCTGTTTATGAAGAAATGTAGATTATATGAGATTATATGGCCTCACATGGGCAGTGACGATACTATCAGTTACTCAACATGCGTTCTCTGACAATAGGTGGCGCTTTGTAATTTACACTAGCAAAATGAATTTGTATTTTTAAATTGTGTAAAACAGTAAAGGGTATCTTATAGTCGCGGCACTGGACTATAGTATTTCTTATTGTTCTGTATAAATTTTTATTTTTATATTAGTATCCAATCATATGTACATATATAGCCAAAACTAGTAATTAAGAATTCCCCTTAATAACAGGCCGTGTAAAGGACAGAGATGATGTACCCTTATCGGAAATCGCGAAACGGAACCAACTTCAAGGTTACAAAAAGTGCCAAAAGTTTTGGCGCTTGTTGCTGCACCAGCAGAAACAAAAATGAGCGGCAAAACATTTAAGCGTAATTTGTGTAGCTATCTAATTCAATGTACGAAAGCTCTGCCACACATATACACTCACACACACCACTTCGTGAGCTGATGGGACGCAGAAGGGGAAGGACAAGGAGAAATGGGGAGAGAACGCACTACAAAGAGAGAATAAAAAGAGAGAGAAAAAAGAGAGAGAGAGAGAGAGGGAGCCCATAAACTATAGCGACAGGTATAGAGATGTGAGAGTAAATAAAGACAAAAAGAAAAATAAGGCAAAAAGTGACTCACAGAAACAGCCGAATGGGCATTTATTCATCTATTCATTTGTTTTCAGAGAGCGTTTCGCAAAAAAAACTTTGGTGCCTGAGGTTATCTGAGTATCTTGTATTTTTTGGCCCACCAAAATAATTGAATACAGGAATTCAGATAAGAGCCCCACTGAAGTAAGTTCTTTATGGCGGATTACTATCCCCCACTTAGTTGCTTAACTGCCAGCTTTTGAAGGCATTCTGAGATTCGCAAGCCGTTATCTCATTAAATTATTTTTTGGCAAATACCCGTAGATTTAATTGGCGTCCAACAGAGAGGCTCTGTTGTGTGGCACCCAACACCCAACATCAGCAACGAACTCGTTCGGCGGCAGATGGACCTTACCCAGCACGCCACACATGCATTAGGAGTTGGAGATGTACATATCTGTTAGCTACACAAGCCGAAAAAACGAAAAGACAACTACGACAGACTCACACACGCACATACAATTAAGTGATTTTGCTTGTTTTATTGCTGAACATTTTGTGAATTTTAGTTTTTTGTGCGAAAAGCGTTTTTGCTTATAATTCATCATATTCCTTTATGGCCTGACGTTCGCACACATTCGTGGCTACGCACACACACAAGTGCCCTACTCTTTCGACTCCGTTCCCCTCCTACCACCCCCTCCTCACCCACGGCCGACTCAACCCAGACACCAAAAATATAAATGAATTCAGCCCCAGGGAGAATTTCGCAAAAAAAATCGGAGAGCAAAAAAGCAAATAAAAATTGCAAATGATTTGTGGCAATTTTTGTTGCTGCTCTTGCTTTTAGTTTTCGCCTTCTGCTTTGAGCTTCTCTGCTCATTAGAGCCGTTTTGTGTTTGCCCCTTTCCGCCTTTTTCCGCCCCCGGAGAATCTCCTTTGCATTTGTCAACTTGATTTACGCGCAAACATTTTTGCTTGTGTTGGAATCCACTTAAGGTCTTTGTGCTTTACAATTGCAGCCCTATCGAAAAGTGGTTAATTGATTTGACTTCCGGATATGAGTTGTAGCACTCAACCCAGGTGGCAGCGCCCTAATAATAAAGGCGTTCTCACCTCCACTGGTGGCCTTTCCATCGCAGATGCAAAGCATTCGTCACCTAATGGAAAACCCTTTCCGGGGGCCCGAAACTCATATCAGACCATCAAGTCAGTCCAGTTTCAGGCACTTATAATAAATCTGTATCTAAA